GAGTGCATCTTTGAGCTTACCTTAGTTATATTGGTGATCTTTATTGGTTTTGAAAAAGAAGAAAATTTGGGAAGAAGCAAAGGAGAAGAACGAGCTTGTAGATCCAGAAGTTTGGCACCATTTCTAGCTCGTTGAAGGTATACACTTTGAATCTTCATCATTATAGGCTTAGATCTTTTGGTCCCTTAGCTTGGTTTCTTGGAGTATGGGCAACTATAGGCCATTTGGGATGTCCTTTTAGACTCTTAGAAGTGTTTTGAGTCGTAAATATCGGATATTGATGGTCAATACTCTACCATGCAAGTGCTAGTAACCACCGAAGTGAGTTAATCAACTTAATTCTTGATGTGAGTCCCATCCATGCATGCAAAAGCATAAAGTTTGCAACTTTATGGCTTAAGATGTTATTAGGGACTTGAATCTATATGTTGGTCATTAGAACTTAATGGATTGAGGCATGGAAGTGTGTTTGGGTTGTCCGAACACTACGCTTGGTGAACTTCAGTGTACGCTGCGTGTACTAGGTCAACATCCTGATTCTGGATCATAATGACGTACGTTAGGCATACAAGGAAAGTACGCCGCACATACACGGTTTGTGGACATAGATGATTTTTGTGCTCGTTTGGTGTTAGGCATTAGACTTGTGTAAGTTGGGCCTCGGGCTTACCTGATTGTAGCAGGTCATAGGCCTTAGGCCATATTGGGGGTTCTTGGGCCATATTGGGCCTTAGAGGCCTCATAGTTGGACTTAGATTCCCTTTTGGATTTTAATTGGATTTGGACCTTAGAAGGAGGGAGGCCCAACGAGGCAAGAGTGAAGAAGCCTTTTTTTTCCTTAAGTCAAGAATTAGGGTTTGGACCTTCGAGTAGAATGTTGACTAGTTTCTAATTAGGGTTTTGTGCTTGTGTGTTAGGAATTGGATTTTGCAAGTCATTAGCTGAGTGCGATTTGGTATCTTCAATTTGAGGTGAGTCTTCCTTCATGATATACGTAGGTCGAAGGCACCAAGGCCGACCTACTAGTTATGATGTAGTGTGATGATTATCTTTGTGATAATTGTTATTTATGCCTGTATTTGCTTGATGACTCTATAATTTTCTTACGATATGATGTGGTCCTAGTAAGGGGTGAAATAGACCCGTTATTCGGTTGAAATAGACCGAAGGGGATTGCAAGCACCCATATACGCTTGATAGTATCCGGTTGAAATAGGCCAAAGGGGTAGGCAAGCACCCATATATGCTTTGTGGTATCCAGTTGAGATATACCAAAGGGTAGTCCAACACCGAAATATGCTTGGCAATATTTTTGTTTATTATGTGGTATGTTGGGGAAACTCACTAAGCTTTGTGCTTATAGTTTTCCGTTTATGTTTCAGGTACTTCCAACTCGAAAAGGAAGGGTCCAACCTAATCGCACCACATCATCCTATGGTTCCGTATTTAGAGATTTAGGGAATTTGTACTCTGATAACAATTATTTATGATACTCTTTCGACTATTTTGCATTTTGATATCAGTTTCTCATGAATTGAATGAATTTAAAAACCAAATGTTATTTGTATTTTTTGGGATGTTACATTCTTGATGATGTTCTTTGTCTTATGGGTTTTATCTCTATTTGTAGGGGTTGGATCAAATCTTGCCTCACTTCTTCTAGGGTTTCAGTTCTTGTAAATGGGTCGGCGGCGGATGAGTTCCAAATTTTTCGAGGTCTTAGACAGGGTGATTATTTGTCTCATTTTCTCTTCATTTTGGAGATACAAAGCTTGCATGTGGCTTTTCTTAGGTTAATTGATCAAGTTCTTTTCTTTGATATCTCTCTTGATTCAAACACTAATATTTGTATTTCTCATCTTTTTTATGCAGATGATGTTGTTTTTATGGTTGAATGGAAGGAGTCAAATGTTCACTCCATTTTTCAACTTCTCCACTGTTTCTTTTTAGCCCCGGGCTTGAAAATTAATCTTTCTAAAAGCTCTCTTCTTGGTATTAGAGTTCCCTTTGAGCAGAATCCCCATTTGGTGAACCATATAGGATATGGTCATATGTTAACTCTGTTCGCATATATTGGTTTAATTGTCGGTGGTGTGATGAACCATGCTTCAGCTTGCAAAGACACGGTGGGAAAGGTTGTGGAGAGACTTTGTAAATGGAAAGTTAAGACTTGATTGGTTGGTAGGAGATTGACGTTACTCAAGTCAGTCTTAGGTTCTTTCTACTTTTTTCATGTCTTTATTTAAATCTCCTATGGAGGTCTAGTAGGGTCACGAAGCTTTGTGTAATAGAGTTTATCTTGGTGTGGAGATGGAATAGAAGAAAAAGGTTACTTGTATTACTTGGAAGATAATCTTAGCACATAAAAATAATGGGGGTTTAGGGTTGTGCAATTATTCTTTTCCCTATATCACGCTCTTTTGTTCAAGTGGGTGTGACAGTTTCTTTATAACCATGATCCCGTTTGGGTGAAAGTTATTAAGGGGATTCATGAGGAAAAAGCCTGGATTGGGTGTTCTTTGCCTACTGGTAGTTCTTCTCTTTGGATTGATATCCTGAAAGTGACTTCTCAGTTGTTTGTGAAAGGATTAGCTTTGTTTCAATTTTGAAAAAAAAAAAAAAGTTGTACACGTTATTTCTAGATAGGTGGAGCAACATTTGTTATTATCGAGTTAGGGCTGATGCTGATGACGAAGTGGTTGAACCATGGACAAGTAGTGTATTAGATAGATTTTATCATTTTTGTTGAACTTGTATTGGATTTTTTTTTTTATATTAATGTTTACTATCATTGTGGTTTAAAGTGAATTTGGCTTTTATTTATTGTATTTTTCTATAACAAAAACTTAGCAAAAAAAAAAAAAAAAGCATGTGATTAAATGTGGTTTACACTCACGAGTTAATTTGTTAGATGTTACTAAATGTAAATAGCATGTATGATAAAACACAATAATTATGACTATAAGTATGTCAATGTCATAAATTTATTTATTATGAGTAACTAAAAGTAAATAATAGTAATGAGAAATGAATCAACCTATGATTAAAAGTAACTTATAGTCATAGTTTATGCCATCAAACACGACTCTATAGCGGTAATATAGTGGCACCATAGTGTTTAACAGATGTAAAGAACTGTGATTATCAAAATAGCAGTGATGCTATTAGAACTACGATTTACACCGTGATTCTGGTCACTGCTATAGTTGTGTTATAACTATTATTTGAATAAATTTTATTTTTGAGCTATTTTACATTAAAAAAAACATTTTTTTATGTCATTGAACTGAATAAAATTGTTTTTCTTATCCCAAACCAAAATTTTTATGCAATTTCATTGAATAATATTTTTATTATGTATGACTTTCATTGAAACGATGTATGTATTGTCTTGCTAATTGTGTGAAAGACTTAATGTACTACAATATGATTAATTCACATTTTCTAATCTTTTTATTTGCAAACTGTAATTATGTTCAAGTATGATAGAATGCTAAGTATTACATATGTTTTGTTGTTGATTGTATTAAAGTATGATTGTGACATTGATAAACGTTATGTGAAGTATGATTAAATAATTATGACATATGAATTGTGATTTATTGATTAACTAATTAATTGGATTGAGTTGAACTTTGAAGTATAATTTACTACTAAATACTCTAATATATATAAATTCTACATTATATAAAAAATGCTATATCACAACTATACCATTGCAAGAACCATGATTTTAATTAACGGATGGTGATCGTTATTATATTTTTACTGTGAAAACTGAATAGGTCACAATTTAATTTATTTTGTGTGACTTCAAGTAACCCGTCATAATAAAAGACAAAACATATGTCATTAAAAGTTAACAATAATAATGACAAAAAAAATGATTAAAAATCAATAATAATCATGACAAATGAAAAAACGTATGATAAAATAAAAAATAGTCATGACAAGAAAAAAATAACTTACTAAATATCAACAATATTCATGAAAGCAAAATAATGTGTGACGAAAAAATAGTTTATTAAAAAAATGATTGAAAAAAATACAAAAATTGTTACAATATTGTGAGTGTTTTACCTATAAAAATGTTTTTTCAATGGGTTATAATCACCACAATGATACATCATCATAACATTTCCTTACACCCTAAATGGAAAAAAGGAAGAAAAAAAATGTCATAAAATGTCTATAGTGACAAACTTTTTACAAGAACATAAGTATTTTTTTTGTACTAATTGAAAGAAAGACGCGGTGAAGTAGCCATGCACGGAGCTTACCGCAACTCCTCGCACCCGGTCGGTATGATGTTCATCGCACACAGCACTGTCAGCCTAAGCTTGACCACCATGGTGTTCGATGGTGGCATGCACTTTTGAGCTTTAGAGGAATATTCTTCTTTTTGTCATCTTAAAAAAAGTTATATAATAGCTTTGTTAAAAGTAAAAGAATTTCAAATTGCTCAAAGAAATATTTATTTATTGATTTTTTTGTTAATATCTCAAGAAAATATCACGTAAACAAGTTTGATACATCATCAAAGAAAAAAAAATACCGACTTCACTTTAAGCTAAGCAGTTGTTGCAATTAGCAATAAAATATAAGCGGTGGAATTTTGTTTATATATAAAGATGTTTTTATAAATTATGAAGAACACGTTATACATTTTTTCGTAATTTAAGTTTTATGCCCGGCCATAAATGATAACCTATGTTGCTATATCCAGGAAGTGGCATAACTTCCAATGTAGAACAAGGGTAGCATCGTCTACTTCCTCAAGATGCAACCTAAAAGACTACCTCGAATATAAAGATGACCCATTCTACACTACAATGAGCTGATTTATATTCTTTCCTTTCAACAACCAAAAGACTACTGGCATCCCTTTGATCTCCGGCCACCTTATTCTTGTTTTTCATATAAAGAAACCCGACACCACCGATGGCTTCTGTTCATCATCTTCACCAAAAGCCTCCGATCAATCACTTGTTGAAGAGGCAATGAATAGTACTCCACACCAGCAAATCCCAATTCACTACACCCCTGATGACCGCCTTAACCGCCCCCTTCCTAACGACGGCCGTCAGTTAAGGCGGCATCACACTGCTCGCTATTATGTGCACCGTGTCAAAGAAAGTCTAACAACTCGTGTATCAAAGCTAATATGCTCAGTTTTTCTTAGCCTTCTGTTCATTGTAGGCCTCATAACATTCATCTTATGGCTCAGTTTACGCCCACATCGTCCAAGATTTCATATCCGTGAATTCTCCATCCCCAGTTTAGCACAAGGTAATGGTTTTGCAGCTAACATAGCAACCTATAATGTGACAGTACGAAACGCTAATCTGAATATAGGGATTTACTACGATACAATGCACTTAACATTGTACTATCAGAATAATCTGAACATTGGGGAAAAGCCAGTATTGTTTCCGTTTTATCAATCACCCAAGAACACGACGATTCTTCACGGCGATCTACAGGGGTCTTCGTTCCAGGTAGATGAAGCACGTTGGGCACAGTTCATAGCTGATCGAAATCGTGGGAGTGTTTCTTTTCGGCTGGAGGTTGCGTCATCCATCAGGTTTAAGGTGGCCACCTGGGAAAGCAAGAACCACAAGATCCATGCGACTTGTCAAATCAAAGTGGGACCCGATGGGTATCTTATTATAGGAAGTGAGAAAGATATGAAATGCCCGGTTTATTTCACTTAGAAAATTGTACCTGTCGTTCAATTTTCTTTTTTATCATTTTATTTGAAAATTTTAATTTAATTATTTGTAAAAATTGTTATTTGTTTGTTTGAAATTAGTCGGGGTTTTGTGTCTACAATGATCAGCAAATTGCATGAAAAAAATATTTTTATAGAAAATCAAAACGTTACTAACTTACATTTTTTTAAAAAAAACGGCATATTAGTATCAAAGTAAAAGCAATACAACTACTAAAGCAAATTACAAAATATTAGTACGAATATTGAAAGCATTAACAGAACAACATTATACATTCCAATTGACACTACTAAGATTAAAAGGGTTACATAGGAAAGTAAGACAAATGGGAGCCGGTACAAACATTTAAAAACATGCTCGATCCACCTCGTTTCCTAATTTTGCATAACATATTGTATGTAGTTTTTCAAAAATACCAACAAAATTTTCATTTTAAACAATCAAATCCATACAATCATTTGTTCTAAAACCAACGATAGTAAAATGTATATTTCAAATACTAGAGTAAAACATTATAATCACTGCGGAAAAAACAATTAGATGATCCATACAATGCTTTGGAACTAGAAGCACCCACTACTAGAAATCAGGAAATAGAGTACGGTTGTTTTGAGGTATAGAATACATAATAATGAGAGTATTCTAAGTGGGGTGTATTAGATTTGATCATATAATAGAGTATGGTTAAAGAACCGTATTCTATCTCTTACATTTGATTAAACCATACAAAATATAATACAACTATACCACATATATAATACAGCTATTTACACTCGTTCTATATTACACCAAAAAAAAAAAAAAAAAAAATCAAATGCCTTAATCCCAACATTCTTATCTAATACCTCTATTGGGGCAGCATTTTCCATGATCTTTTTCTGACCATACAAAAGTATCTAAACATCAAAACAAACAAATCAAATCAAATCACATGCATATAATATTAATAAAAGCTACAATAGTACAATACAAATACAATAGTATTGGTATCAAATATAAATTAATAGAAGATTGGTTGGGTTGGGTTATCTTATCAATTACTCTTTATCTTTGGTGGAATGCATATAAAAATGTCTTCTCATCACTTGTGTTATAGTATCCACTGTCTAATTTCGGGTCTTGTTGTTTCATAATGGATCTAGAACATACAATAAGCAATTAGAGTTTTAAAATAGATAGAAAAAACAAAAGTAGTTAAAAGAAAGCTAGCTTTGGATTTGAAGGATTCTCAAACTATTGAAGAATGTATGCATTTGTTGTTTTTGCCAATATCTCCTAAGCCTTCATCTAGCATTCAGAACTAGTGTCTGACACTGACCCTGAACCTGACTTCTGTAGAACTGGAAATCGAACCGGTATATAGGAACCAATTCCGGTTCGATTCCAAGTACGAGACCGGGTAAAGTGGGTATGAACCGGAAAACTCGAAAATATCAAACTGTGTAGGGTGGAACCAGCTAGACTGTGTCTAGAACCGGAAAACCTAGAAATACGAATTTTTTTATACTTAGTGTTTTGATATCTTATGTTTAGAGGCATGTAAGTCACTCAATACATATGCAAATCATGTGTTTTTTTAGTCTAAAACTAAGGCCAAACATTGTACTACATTTTTAAAAGACAATCAGCTCGAACAGACTTATAACGAAGTTGTAATGACGGTTTAAAGTGAACTAAAAATTCACCACAATGTAGTAACAGAAACAAAACATATTTGATATCTCATGTTTAGATGGCTATAAGTCACTCAATACATATGCAAATATGGTGTTTCTTGATTCTATAACTAAGATCAAAAAGTGATCTACAATTTTAAAAAGTACCCGCCCGAATGGACTTATAACAAAAAAGATATAACAACTTAAAGTCGAGTAAAATTTCAGCACATTGCAGTAACAACAACAAAACATATTTGATATCTAATGTAAAGGGAACCGTAGTTCACTCAATACATATGCAAATAAGGTGTTTATTGGATTTTATAACTAAGGCCAAACACTAAACTACAAGTTTAAGAAAAACAACATCCCAAACGAACTTATCATTAAACAGAAATGACAGTTTAAGTTGAACTAAAAATTCACCATAGTTCCTAGATGTTCTTGTTTTTATGGAACTAATCTTTCACTACATGATGTTACCAAAAGAATAAAAGTTCAAAAAACATGATTCAAGTTCAAAAACATGATTCTTGGTTTACCCGGTTTCGATTCTTGTACCCGGTTCTGGTTCTTTTACCTAGTTTTGGTTCTTTACCTTGTTCTGGTTCTTATACCTGGTTTACTCGGGCTCGAGAGATCCATATCGAGAATACCCAAAACCCAGATAAGGATATTACTAGAACCAAAAACCTAGACTAGTTTACTAGATTTCGGTTCTGGTCCAATTTTCCAGTTCTTGATCTCATCCCTACCGCCCATGTATCGGGCCCCACCCATCATAACGTGCCTCGCCTATCATAACGGGTCGCACCCAACATACAAACGGCCCCCCGCCAAGAACCGGCCCTCCCAGCATAAAAATAGGTCTGAACCAGCATAAAAACGGGCCACACCCAACACACAATGCAAGAGTCACAAAAGACAACTAACGAAAGATCTCCTTACACTTTCATGAATTCTACATCTCATTACTCCCAAACAATTGGCATTTTGTACCAAAAAGATAATGTCTCCAAAGCTTTACGGAAAATACGACAACAGCGAGTTTGAGGCCATGACTGGGATAATTCTTTTCATATTCCCTCACTTGTCTTGAGGCATAGGCTATCACTTTATCACGTTGCATCAACACACAACTGAGTCCCAACCCAGAAGCATTGCTATATACAGAGAAATCATTATCCCCTTTGGGAAGTGCATGAGTCAAAAGATCTTTTAAAGTTGAGAAAGCTTTTTCTTGTGCTTCACTCCATTCAAACTTTGTTTCCTTAAGGGTAAGACTAGTAAGAGGTACAACTATACGCGATAAATCTTTAATAAATCTCCGGTAATATCCCGCGAGACCTAAGAAATTGAGAATTTTAGAAGCATTACGAGGCGCTTCCCAATTCTAAATGGCTTTGATTTTGATAGGATCTACGGATATACCGTCACCGAAAATCACATAACCGAGAAATTGAACTTGATGAAGCCAAAATACACATTTTGAGAATTTAGCATACAGTTTCTCTTTTCGAAGAAGTTCTAAGACTTCACGAATATGAATGCATGATCAGATTCAGACTTCGAATAGATTAAAATATCGTCAATGAATACGATGACAGATTTATCGAGCATCGGGTGACATACGCGATTCATCATATCCATGAATACAACAGAAGCATTTGTTAAACCGAATGGCATGACAATGAATTTATAATGCCCATAATGAGTACGAAAAGAAATCTTCAGTACATCCTGATCTTGTACTTTCAACTGATGATAACCAGATCTCAGAATCTTCGAGAAATAGCTAACACCCTGAAGTTGATCAAACAAACCGTCTATGCGAGGTAGTGGATACTTGTTCTTGATAGTTATCTTATTTAGCTCACGGTAATCGATACAGATTCACATTGATCCTTCCTTATTGACAAACAACACAGGAGCACCCTAAGGAGAGGTACTTGGTCTATTAAAGCCTTTGTCAAGCAATTCTTGTAGTTGGATCATCATTTCTGTCGTTTCAGCTAGCGCAAGACGATAAGGAGTCTTTGCAACTGAAGCAGCACCAGACACAAGGTCGATTCTGAATTCTACTTGCCTGTCCGGAGGAAGTATAGGAAAATTATCAGGGAAAAACATCGGGATGCTTGTTAACAACGGGAACCTCATTTACAGTTTTCTTCTCCTCCTTCGAGGTATCAACTTTATAGGCCAGATAGATAGAACATCCCTTCGATATGAATTTACGAGCTTTCAGGAAAGAGATTATTTTCAAGACCTTAAGTCTTTGTTCACCGTAGAGCAGGAGGTTTCCATGATATGGTCTTCTCGGTGCTGAGGTAGGAGGGCCCGTGTGAGTATGGACTGCTACAGCTTGTTGCCTTTCCGTAGGCCCTTGATTCGAATTGATTGCTTTCTTGTTCCCTAGCTTTTGCTTCATCCCCTTAGGTTTTGAGTTTGGGGTGTCTTGGAAAGTTTTTCCTCGATGGTTTCCTTGGTTGTTACTACAGTCTGAATTGCCGACACCGTTTCCATTTCCAATTGGGTTATTGGCGTTGAGTTGTGCCATGATGGCTGTCACGGCAGCTGTTACAGCAACTTGAAAGGTTGCGAGGTCCATCTGTAGAACTGGTGTTTCGCCATCTATCTGGTTGTTTACATGGGAAGACATGATTCTGTTGCATAATGAGAAACAGGTACGTGAGTAAGTATGGTTATTTCTAGTCGTATCTCGTCTATGATTATAGATATGAACTTATGCATGTATACATATAAATCACATGTATTGTTGTACGATTCTCGTTGTTTCGACCTACCTCACTATGATGTATTAATGGTAGTATGTAGAAATAGGTATTGTTAAAATGTTAAGTTACACTAAAAGATTATAGATATCTGACCCTTAAGCTGGCCCAGGTTACATGAGTTCTTGGAGGACGTACCTCTCTTGATTTACTACTACTAGTGGTGATGAATTACATGGTAAACCTAGGACTTAGTGCGAATAGTGTAATGATTCTCATATGCCTAAAAACCATATAAAGTGTCCAACCATTTCGCTCATTTCATGAGTGGCCTCTTCCGCTCTCTGCTCTACTAAGGTTGCCCTAGTCTCAGGTGCAATGATTTATCACCTTAGGGTGATCAACTCTTCCTTTAGAGGGCGTAGTCGGTAGGCAAGGTCCTCCTATGGTGCTTGTTGATTCGGTATTGCTTTCGAGGGGTAAGTCTCACTAAGGATCTCTCTGGATCCATGTCTGACTCCTCATCAGAATCCTCTCCATCGTGATTCATCTCTCGGTATTCTTCATGACCCATTCTGAGTTCTCCCCTAGC